TGTGGGAAAATTCTACTACCAGTCCTTCATCACCTTAAACGAAATAGGGTGAATACATCTCATTACAAATTTTTCCTCTTTTAACCTGACAATAGAGAATTGGTGACAAGTTATATTAACCCTATCAACTTTTGATCAGCTGCGTGGATATAGCGCCGGATCTCATCAGCCAACTTCTGTCGCCAGCTCTAGTCGTGCCGCCACTAGCCCCACCGGTCATGACCACGCCAGTCTCGACAATGCTCCTTCACGCGAGTTTCGCAGCTCTCCTAGACCCGTCGTCGTCACCAACATGGCAGCTCCGGCGCCAGTCACCGCGGCTCGTGCTCGGGCAGCTCTGGAGCAACGCCGAGCTGGAGGCGGCTCGGAAGCCGGACCACACGTTGCTGCAGTCGGGCCGGTCGGCTCTTCGCTCAGCCAAAGTCTGGCAGAATTCGTTGAGGCTGAGCGTCTCTGCGAGACGACTGCCCGAAGTCCTGTTGCTGTGGGCTTCCGCGAAATTGGGGTCTGGCGAGAAGGTCAGGCACCGCAGGTCTCTTCGCCCACACCCGGTGGCCATGACGTCTACATGAGGTTGGGCAGACGCCGTCCCATCTACGAGACGGCTGGCCAGCAGAAGGAAGCACCAGAGAAGGAGGAGGAGGAGGAGAAGGAGAGAGAACGGCCGCCTTCAGAAAGAGTTTTAAGCGCCATCGACGAGGTGCGACTAGGTGGGTGAACGGTAAATATTTTTTGTCGCGACAGGAGATACGTCAAATGAAATACCAGATAGTCTTGCATAATGAACATTACTTGTTGCTGGAAGGTATGAAGACCAAGATGGTATGGTCTTTTGTGTGGTCGCAGTCTGCTTTCGTTGTACAGAAGTGGTTTGACCTTTGTTTCGCAACTCGGTCATATTGGTAGGAAGACTTAGAGGAACGCACCTAGTCTGGAGTCCATTGTATGCATAATTATTTCCAAAGTTGAACCGTGGACGTGGTACATTCCCAAACGTTTCACCGGCATCGTAGTCGGCATTCGTAGCACCATATTACAACTCGTCAAAGGGACAAGTGAAGCCCATCCTTTGGCCAAACGTGGGCTAAACAGAAGTGGAGATACCATAACTGTTTAGCACACGTTTGGCCAAAGGATGGGCTTAACTTGTCTCTTTGACGAGTTTTAATATGGTGCTACAAATGGCGAGACTCACTGACGATGCCACGGTTCAACTTTGGAAATGATTCTAATGGTAGGTAGACTGATAGAAACGCACCTTGTCCTGAGTCCATTGTATGCATAATTATTCCCAAAGTTGAACCGTTGACGTGGTACATTCCCAA